TTTGCAAAAATGCYACTTAGGRGTGTCCATTTACAAAAATGYCACTAATTATAGATTTATAAAGCCTATATCTTAAAATTCTAAATCCTAAAAAATGTTTTGACACCTAAAACCCCCTAAATACTCAAAACTAAACTCTAATAGAACATAATTAACCCAAACATAAATAATATAAAGAAAAAATAATTTTGAAAAAGTGGCATTTTTGTAAAGATTTCAAAAGTGTGGCATTTTTGTAAAGTGGCACTTGAAAAGTGGCATTTTTAAAAATTTCTCTATATTTAATGTTTAATAAAAAAAATATGAAAAAATCAATATGAAATAAAAAAAAAGTCAGACTATAGTAAATCGTTCAATGAGTGAAATTGATCTCTAAATCTAATATTTTCCTAATTATCCCATAAAAATTCAATGTAAAGAAAATTATATTTTTTAAAAAATGATCAAATAGGGGTTCAGTCTTTTATGAGAAGAATCTCAACTTTTTATAGTAGATTATGTACTCTAATAGATAAATTATTATATGATACGTTTACGTATATAAAATAATAAAATTAGAATAATAAATTTGTAAAACTAAACTTAAAAAATTCATATGATTAACAAAAAAAAATTAAGACAAAATATCAGTAACAATGTCTATAGTAAAAATAAAAAAAAATACATATTTTCACATGTTCAAAATATAAAATTAAAAAAAATATAAATAAATTATCCGCGATTACGCGGGAGAGTCACCTAGTTAAAAAATATCCCCGGAGTCTAGGTCGTATGAATGTCTAATTCGTACTGCTTTACTTGCCGAGCTATGAAGCCTAGTTCTTTTTCAGTTAGAGAGATAGATTTTCGTCCTTAGAGGAAGATTTTCTTTCGATGTTTCGCCCCTCCTTGGTTGCTTCATCGGGTGGTCTCTGGCTAAGGATCTCTAGATGGTTAGAAAGCTTCATCGGGTGGTCTTTGGTAGTACTGCCTACTGCCTAGTCTCTGTTTTAATTTGAATTTTGGTTATGCTAGAAGATTAACAATGGACTTGATTCCTCTCCACTGTTTGTTTTCTTTCTCGATAATTGTTTAATGAGGATCTCTTGTGTGTGGATATGTTAGATTTGGATTTAAATCGCTTGTTGTACTCTGGTTTTAAACCTTTTTTTTTAATAAAATGATCTTTCACTGTTTAAATGGAATCTGGCTGAATTTTTTCAACTAACCAACCAAACTTATAATGTTATTAATTAAGTAGAAAAATTGTTTGCCAACAAAATTAGTTAAATATGCTAATATTAGTTAATTAAATAACAAAGAAATATTATGGAAAACTTATAACTTGTAAAAAAATAAATAAGTTTGAATTTTGACTAAATTTATTGTAAAAGTTTAAAATCTACCATTTTTTAATGTAATAATTTTTTCTAAATTCAGTTATTAAATACCCCCTCTTAAATTGAAACATATGGATCGTTTCTTAGGGGAGAAAAGAATCATGGTAATAATAACTAAATTATTGAGAACCACGTACGTAATCTTTTTTTTGCTTTGACTATACAATCTACCCATAGGAAATTTATTTTAGATTCATCGTTCTTATTTATTTAAATTAATGGACAATTTGGTCGGTGTGGAATGCGTTACACTTGACTCTTATATATGTATCTAAAATCCAAGAAACTATAAAATCATTTCACATATCACCAAAACAAAAAAACACAAAAACTATAGAAAATCTGACTAGAAGATGAAGCTGGTGGTCCTTGTATTCATCTTGCTCGTTCTCCCAATGTTTTCTTCAGGTACAGATCAACTAACAATGTTTTAAGTTCTAACTAATGCATTATTTCAAGTTTTCAACAACTATGTTGCTTTAATATGTAATTGTGCCTTAAAAACCATATGTCAGTTATATATATTTTTTCAATGAGCGTCTTTAGTAGAAATGAAGATATAGAAACACATCCGATAAATGAACTAATACCACAAAATTTGTTTAAAGTATGCATGAAATCCATGTTTTTCTAGAAAAACATCCGCTAAGTTACTACTTAGTTTTATCTAGTTATATGTTTTATTACTTTCAGACGATAATTTCATGTAACTCAAGATATAATACTGAAAATTCTTGATTTTGTTGATGATGTAAATGATTTAGTATATGCTTCATATTTTTTTAGGGATCGTGGAGACTTTGCATCTTGACAACGTTGAGGTATTTTCTTTTAAAAAAAATAACCACATTTATTTTATCTTTTGTTAAGAATGTAAATATCATTAATGAAAATGAATGTCCACGTATTACAAGTTGTTACTGGAACAAATTGGAACAACCATACTTTAAAAAACGTTATATATTGATTATAAATAGAGCCCTTATAAATATGCATCGAAACTTAAATTGTAGTAGTATATCTACATCTGTTGATTTAAAAAGGTTAAAGAGGTGGTCATGAATGGAAGAAGAATCGATCTGGAGATGGACTACACTGGCCCGCATATAAGGCCGCCCATCCTATCCGACAGTCCAACTCCAAGACCACAATACGTACGTACCTATAGGGGCTATAATAACATTAAAAAATTGGTAGTCCATTACAAAAATAAAAGTATTAAGAAAGTATTCTTTAATGATCATGAATAATTCAGTTTAGTTGAATAAAAAACTATTATAAAACTTCCAAAAAATTATTTTCTCTGTTCTTTAGAGAATGATGTTTTGGATGTTGCACATATATTAAAAAAAAAATCCAACAACTTTTAACACAATATATCATTTTTCAAAACAATTAAATCATATTAGTACCAAAGAAATTCACCTTATAAAGGAAAATGCATTAAATAGTGTTATCCTTTTTAATAGCTAGTGTGATTTTGATGATAAAAAGACAATTAGAGTTTGATTTTAAAAGGTTGATGAGGTTGTGACAAAGGAACGACCGGTGTACATCAAAGACGACTATATGGATCCGGCTCCAGTTCCAATCCTACCACGACCGAGGCCATATGAGAG